GAGAGGATCTTAATACTTGGGAAATCATACATACTACGTTTGACATTTTATACTTATCCACCATGTGATAATAGTTATAGCCTATGCTTTTGCATACATATATATACAAACATTCTTCTTCCTAAATCCCAAAAAATATTAACAAAAACTTATACTGAAATTGATGATCCAATAAGTTTATAATAAAAAAAAAAATATTATCCGAAACATTGTGATCAAGTAATAATACCGTACATAGTACGGGTAAAATACTAGTATTTTTTAAAATTTATAAACATGATGATCCGAATAAACATGAACATTAGAAATATTTGTTTCATTCAGATCTTAATGCATTCTATTATAATTAGTTAATAATATATATCCTTTTAGTTCTAACAGCAAAGTCGATATGTATTGAAATTGAAGTCATTGTTGTCCTAGTAAAGATTATAATCAACTTGATTAGCGGTAATTTAAAAATCATAATCAACATTATTCTTTGTAAAGATTATAAAATAAAAAGAAATGGAAAAAGGGTATAACTTTATAAGAAAAAGACAGGACATGAAGATAAAGAAAGATAAAAAAAAACGTGGTAGGGTTTTGTTCCCTGCCCAATCTGCCCGATCATTCATTAAATTTTAAGATTATGCCCTGAATCCTGATTAAGCAATTAATGAAACTTCTAGATTTCACAATTCTTCTAATCATTATTTATTTCTACTATTACATTAAAGTTTTGCTGCGTCGTTAGTAAGCAGAATGATTAACAAATGGAATGGTTATCTTTAACAACAACAAAAAAAAGGCTATCACTATTATATTTGCAAATTTTATGTAACTGGACACAAGGAACAACTAGCAAATGTATAGATAATATATACAGGAGTATTCTCACAAATCAATGTATGTGTACTTCTACTAGTCGTTGATTGATTTCCCAAAGGAGAAAAACTCCAGAAACCATGATTCAAACTTTGTTTTGGAAAACAAATATTTGAATCATCCGAAGATGTATGAATTTTGGTCTATAACTCTTTAATCAATCCAAAAAAATATATATACATATGTGCTTATCTTATTATAGTTCTAACGAGGTATACCAATATATCTTTCACTAATTTTGACCAAACTATTAAACTAGATTTAACATATACTATATATCTCTCCACTTTCATTTGCCTAGTCAAAGTGATGCCACACTTTAGATCCATTCGAAAACTTGGTGAGTGGACAACTCGACGACTACATTCATCATGAAAATATTAGTCGAAAGATAAAAATCCAGATTACCTTTTGGATTACACATAGAAACAAAAAAAAAAAGTCTTGTAGTAATATTTTTGTTGGTTGAGAATTAAGGTGGCATTAAATTGAATGCATGTTGTCTCTAATGAAAAAATAAAGTGACAGAACAGAAGACGTCGGTGTAAATTTGTTTGTGTGTTGTGAAATTGAAGTTACTGTCCTCATTTAGTATGTGACATTGACTGATGTCAGGTCCCATCTCTAGTTTTCTCCCTTTTATTATGAGCCTCTTGCCACTTTCAGTACATTCAAAAGTTCCTTTTCACAAAAAAAAAAAAAACATTTTCTCTTTTTCGATTTTTATTCGAGAAAATCGCATAAAAAATCTCAAAAATAGTTCGCACTGACACTTTAAACCTCCAAAATTTATAACTAGCTCTTTAAACCTCCAACGTGACATTATTCACACTATAAACCTTCAAAATGACTTTTTAGTACACACCGTCATAATACTTAACAGAACTGTTCATTTTCTGTTTATAAATGATGAGGTAGTTTTTAATTTAAAATTTTTAATTAAAAATAATCATGTAGTATATTATTTACAATTTAATAATAAATTTTGAAAATCAGAAAAAGAAAAAACGAAATATTGAACAAAAAAAATATTTTTATAATTATATACAATTTTCTTATTTTTTCTACGGTTAACAAAAAAAAAATCAAAAAATTGATTTCGACAAAATATTAGTATCCGGTTGCGGCGAATTCATGCCTTCTCCTTCCTCCTCACCTTCCGATCCGACTTCCCTCAAGTCCACCGCCAAGACAACGATGATTCCTCCGCCGTACCACCACCGGTTCTCCTTCCATCTTCCATCACCGCCGCAATTGAGTACCAACCTCACCACCGTGACCACCCACCTCCACCGCCTCCTCCTCTCCCCATAGCCCTAATTCATCTTTTCCGCCTTCTATCTCCTATTCCTACATGCTCCTCACTCTCTCCGGTACCAAAATCATCTTCAATCATAGAATCTTCCACAATTTCTCTTGATCCTCAGTTTTTCATCCAACCACCAAGCTTAACCAGAATCGTATCCATGGAGGATATCTCTAGATCTCCGGTGAAAAGAAACGACGGACTCCACCGCTACTTAAAACCAGGCATGGGTGCTCTAGTGTCTTGGTATCTACTACCTCGTAGATCTCCGTTGATGAAGTCACGGCGGCTTCCTTGTAACTGAGCTTTCAACAAAAATCTTGGAGCTTCAATTATTTTTTTATTTCTGTTGGAACCAGTTGAATGAAACATTTAGAGGAAGAACATGAATCTTCTTCTGTGAATTTTTAACCCGAGATGGAAGAGAAGATTTTCTTTATTTTCCTTTCTTACCACTTTTATTTTAAGAAATTGTATTTTAATTATAGAAAAAATGTTTTTTTATGTTTCCGTTTTTTTTTCTTTTTCTGATTTTCTTAATTTATTATTAAATTGTAAATAATATATTAAATGATTATTTTTAATTAAAAATTTAAATTAAAAGCCACTTCATCATTTATAAACGGAAAATGAACAAATCTGTTAAGTATTATGACGGTGTGTACTAAAAAGCCATCTTGAAAGTTTATAGTGTGAATAATGTCACGTTGGAGGTTTAAAGTGCTAGTTATAAATTTTGGAGGTTTAAATTGTCAGTGCGAGCCACCTTGGAGGTTTTTTATGCGATTTTCCCATTTTTATTCATAACCTTTATTGCATATTTCGAGTTGCCCTAAAACCATGTTCGGACCTCGCTTATATTTCGCAAAGTGAGTGCGATGCAGAACATAAAATATGTGGAACGGTTCGAAGATGTATATATTTTGTTATTATTCAATGGTGCAAGAGATGATATGTGCAAAACAATCCGAATAATAACAAATATGTATTTGTTATAATTCGGTTCGGTATAGGATAGTTCGTCTCCATTCGAAGGCTAGGAGTGTGCTAACTATGCAAAAACAACGAAGATTTTGAATTGCCTAAAATTTATGACGGATTAAGTTTTGGAAAATAACAACGGACAGAACGACATAAATATAATTATGTCGTTAATGGCTGGATTTTTCTGTTGGTTTAAAACTTTAAATTACTCATGTAAGTTAAGAACTATTTCTTACGCTCTCAAGTCTCACACATGAAAATTGTGCATGTGCACGCAAAACATTGACGTCCAACGTATTCGAGAATATACAGTTTCTAGGTGATGGTACTTAATTTAATAAAATAGTTTGATAACTCGTAAGACAAATGTTGAGAGGATCACTGTCACACTGGTTACTTAAATTTTCGTTGATATTTACAAAAGTAGTGTTACGAAGTTCGAGCCACTGCTAGTACGTACCTAGCTAAATGCAATATGTGTTGTTGTTTAATGATAAATAGTTGAGGAAAGGTTGGTGTTTTAAGACTTTTTAACTTAATATAACGATTAAAATGATGTTTATTATATTAATCTATAAGGATTTGTGTAAACGAGGATTGATTTGTTGGTTAGTATGATGTAGCCAGGATTTTTTTTTTGTCTTTTGTGAAGAGATTTTGTCATTTGTACGTGGAGCAACTCGAAGATGTTAACCTAATGCCGATAGTTCAATTTTGAGCATATATTTTTGTTTAACGAGGTTGCATATGTGTACTCGAATCCGAGTTGTTGCTAAAGAAAATTAGTTTATACATCTGTACTTGTAATTAAAAAAAATCCGAGTTGTTTTAAAGAATAAGGTAGCACATGTAGTCACAAAAAAAGTAGGACTTAGTTACTCCCAAATGATCAAATGAAAGACTAATCTAATTCAATCTACTTAGTTTTTTTTTTTTATATATAAACCTTTATCAATCAATGAGTTTAGGTCTATGGCAAATCCATAAAATTTATTTTATCGGGGTCAAATGATTATTGTGAAAACATTGATCTCAAGATCTGAACCAAGTGGTGGTGGACTAGTGATTTCCACTTGTCGATGAGGTGCTCTGTATCTAATCATTACCATTTGGCCAGTTGAAAAAGTGTCATGCTTTAGGTTCATTAAAAAAACATGGTTAATGAATTACTCGACGACTACATTTATCCTGAAAAATTAGTCAGGTGGTAAAAGCCCGGATTACCCTCTAGTTTAAAAAAAAAACTCAAAAATTAGTGGTGTCAAACATAACCAATTATGCTAAAGCCTTGTATTTTTTTACAATGGCTGAAACGGAATTAATAAAAAAAAAATTACCAAGGTTAAATTGCATTTTTGGTTCACAGTATAGGTCAGTCCATGGTTTAGATGGATGTATAGTGTACAATACTTTTTCTAAGTATTTGATTAAATTAAAAGACAAAAAGAGTTGATAATCAGTGTAGATGCTAAATACTTTTTCTGATGAAAGCTTAACTGTATTTTGAACCTCGGATTGAATTAGCATGTACTACAAACTATAAAGAGAACTATTTTTTGGTCGAAAGTTTCTATTTATGTTTGTTAATGATGTCAGAAAGACTTATATAGAAAACTGAATATTTGCAAAAACTAGAGACGTAGATTGAAATTAGTACAATACAAATATGCTTGACAATGTTAAAACTAAAAGTGAAATTAGTGAAAGAGGAGACAAATATTAGACAATCTCTATAGTTTTTACCTTTTTACCATTTTCAGGCTACACATTCTAAATAATCTGTCTGATGAAATAAATATTAGCGATCAAAGTCTTTTGTACAATGGTCCGAAGAAAAAACCCTTTTCATATATGTCCAAGGGAGAAGAATTGAGGGCTATTTTGGTAAAATACAAGGAACTGTCAATCAGTCTACAGTATTTGATAGAAATATATTACAAAATATTCATATTAATATATTTTAAATATATTTTTTCCATTCTTTTCAAACTTTTGGCTGCCTTTGTCCACACCTAAATGCCCAACTCCTTTTCTGCCTTTTTATAGCGACAGAAAATTATTTCATTGAAATAAAAAGAGAGAAGAAGAGTAACAAGCCACCTTACAAGTCTCTATCAAATAATTAAGCCAAATATAAAGACTATTCGTTAATTTCTTATTTTCTAAAAGAGGCTACAATTATTCTCTCTTACTCTACCAAGTGATTAGGGTATTTACAATATATATACGGTCGACAAAATATACAAACTAAAACGAGTATACTATTCCGATACAGTTCTACTTTGGTCGAGTTTTCAGGTCGACCTGTTTACAACGTACAAGATAACTTTAACTTTATTTAAACGAGGTCTACTTTGCTAGCTTTATTGTCCATTTCTCTTATTAATAAGTTATGTTGGACCAAAACAAAAAAAAAAGTTATGTTAATAGTTATATAGAAAAAATCCTTTCACGAAAGTTCGTTTAGTATTGTCCCAAAAAAGCTATTTTATTTCATCCGACATTAATTAAAAAATATTACATCAAAAACCCCAAACCCGGTATGTGAAATAGCGACAACAAACAATAGATACAAAAGTGTAAAACTATAGTCCACTTATCTCAACTAATATAAAACACAAAAAACAGAAAAATCAAAATAAGGAAAAAAATCGAAAAAGTTTATTAAACAAAAAAAAAAAATTAATTATTACACATCATATATATCTTCACAAAGTAACCTTATTACATCTCCCAACCGCACAAACCAAAAACAAAATTCTACCTCCTCCCATATCCTCCAACA